AACAGATTTCTTAGCTAGACCCTAGGCAAGGCTCGCACCGAGTTTGGTAAGGATTGGTGAAGCGCCTACTGAGATACAGCATTTCATCATAAGTGGACGGGGTCACGCCCATTACCAAAATTCTACTTCACGTACTAATTTTCAACAATTTAGATCCAATATTTACTGAAACGTCGTGGGAAGTGGGCGTGGTTAGAGTCCGAGTTCCCCCATTTTCAATACCAACCTACCTTGGATACAGGGCAACCCACACCAAATTTCGGTGAGATATCTCAATGTTTGCTCCAGTTATCGTATACACGGACGGACGGGCGGATGGACGGACAGACAGACAGACATGGCTTAATCGACTTCCAAGGGCGTACCCTGAATCAAATATAGAGGGGCAAAGCAAATACATTTGTTTCTCAAAAAAATTCTATTTTATATTACTGGTGTTTTTAACATGGGGATGTCCTACGAGATGGCGATTGTCAGAATTCGGTCAGAAATATACCAGTCTCATACTAGTTTAAAATAGACGGAAAAATGCTAGTCCAATATGGACCAAAACCACTACTTTGGTAGTGAAAAAATGAAATGAATTCATGAATATACAATAAAAAACTTTTGATTAAGTGCACTTTAATATATTACACATTTTTATTTAGCAGCATTAGATTTTTCAATAATTAGTGTTAAATTTTTTGTACAATACATACTATACTTTTACACCCAGAGAAAGAATTCTGTAAAATCAATCGAATTACAGGTTGTAACAACAGATTTCACATATAAATCACATCCAAAGGATAAATCTGTAAAATTAACAAATACTTCTCCGTTGACAAGAAGTTTTAACAGTTTTACTGTTGAATTTACAAATCGTCTGTCGAATTAACATTTCACTAGGCTATATATAAAATATTTCTGTTAATTTTTAGCAAACGCGACTGTTGTTTTACCACATATTTACGTTAAAATAATCCGTCAATCTGTTTATAAAACTGCAAAATTGCTGTTAATTTAACTGTAAATACAGTTTTATTGACAGTCAAAATAGTCATTTTTTATAAAAATAAATAAAAATCGTGTTTAAGTATGTTTTCCTAGATCATTTATTTCATATAATTTGATGAAGTATATAAAATATTTCCTTATAGCTAACAACATACACTTGTGGTCAGCTGATTAAGTTAAGTGACATTTTGACCATTTCACATTTCACATTTTACATTTTCATTTTACTTTTGTTTAACAATAAATTAAATAAATATTATTTAAGTAGTCACAACATTTTATTTCGTAGATATACTGAACCATCTGCCAGGACTAGTAAAAAATTCAATTTAATTAAAACACATTTCATTGGTATTTATTCCAACAACATAAGATTGGTAATGTTCATAAAATTTTTTCAACTGAATTTTGGTAGAAACAATAAACAGTTGATTTTGTTTGTCAATTAGAAGTCCTTCGATTTTATATAACTGTAAAATTTCTGATAATCTGGAGAGATAAAAGTGTTTTTTATAAACACTTCCTTTGAAGGTCACTGAGTCAGCTAAAGTAAAATGTTCTATTGTTAAGTTACATGACTGCAAAAAAATCAATTGTACGTGTATTGTCTTCGTTCACTTGTTTTTTATCTGTGTTATGAATAACACATGGTGTGGCCACAACCATCGATAGCTTTCCGGCTCTATGACAGACGTATATTTTTTTAAGTCTGTATGTTTCGCATCAAATCTTAAACATCATATATATTTCAAAGGCCCACTAGCCTTTATTGCCGACCCATAATGGACCAAGAAATGGTGCTTTGGCTTAAGTAATCCAAATACTTTCAAATACAATTTGCGATGACGAGATATCGTATCTATAAGGAGTTCAATGTCATTTTCAGTGAAAGATGAATATAGGCAAATATCAATGATTTTGATTAATAATGTGATAAGCTTCCACACTTTATCATATCGTGGCACTTTGTCCCCTATAATTAGTGGCAGAAAATGTGTGAAAGTTCAAGTTTCACTTGCAGACATTTTTAAATTTGACTTAAGACGACAGTGTAATTTTAATGGGCCTGAAAAATTTCCTATTTCGGTTTCCCCGTACATAAAATTTTGTTTACGTGTGTTTAAAAAGTCTAAGGAAAAGTTTTTTTTTTTTTTAAGTACAATAGTGATGGGGTTATTTCATAGCGACAAATACCTTCAAAAATGCCATGCATTAATCAACGCTAAAATTATGAGTAACATGAAAAGTGCTAATATCATTAAATATACGTTTTTCTACTATACCTGCTATACTGTAATTGTTTAACTTAAGATCTTCAGAATAATTTTGTATATTTCTTATACAATCATTTGCTTCGATTACATCTTTCTGTAACTATATATTTTGCCTCTTCTGCAAACACGACAAAATTTGTACGATCGAAATGATTTACAAAAACCAAATATTGTTTTCATACCTAAGTTATCCCCTAGAACAAGTCCTAATGTAAAAAAAAAATGATAGCTATTTCCATCAGCACTTATTTCTAAACCCGTATCTTCCAAAAATCGAATTTCTTGAATGAGACCATATAAGGCTGAATTACTTCCCAAATCTTTCAAATAACAAGATTTGACAATAAAATAAATTCCAAACTAGACAGTAAATATTGCGGTATTGTCGGAAAAGAATAATAACATCCGCGTATAGAATCTTTTGTTGTATGACTTCCTAAAGGGTTGTTTGTTTCGAAATCATCAGAGTAAAGAAAATATGGTATAATCAACTTTCCTTTACCAATTTTTTGCTCCTTCGACTTGAAAATAGATCCATTTACAAAATTTGAATATTGCGTTTGGTTTTGTAAGAATTGTGTGTTGTTCAATGTTTCTCGAAACAGAGATTTTAATTCGAAAATTTTTTTAAATTGAAAGCGTAATGGCGTAATATAAGCTTTTGAATTAGTTTCAGCCAAAGTGGGATTTCCAAGTCGGATACGTGGTACAATTTCATTGTTTATAGTATGCTCAGAAAAACTGTGAAACAAATTTTTGCTCTGGATGTACTTAAAAAATTTATATTCAGTGTTTACGTATTGCAGTGGATCAGAGCATAATTTAAAAACTTCGCGTAGTTTGTTAGTTAATGGAATATCAATCTCATTCTTAAGTGTATCTTTAATATTAGCAACCAATATTTTACATATATTCGAAACATTTTTTTGGATACTAACACTTAAATAGTTTTTTGAATATAGTTCACATGAAAATATTACAGCTGATCCTATAATTTTATCATTTGGATTGTTATCCGTTTTACAAATATGAGTTTCTGGCTTAGTACAGTTATATGATGATCGGTCAGTGTTGTTGAAACTTTCAGAATTCGACTTTACATTATTTAAACTCAAGTTATCATCATTAGCATATTTTTCGTGCCTATTAAGGTGTTTTGCAAATGGCCATTTACTTGAAAAATGCTGCAAACAGTTTTTCTGTGCACATTTATATACAGCAAAATATTTCAATTTATGTTCACTATTGAAATGAGATATTAACTTTTTAACCGTTTCAGTTCTGTATTCACAAACAAAGCAAAAATACATTATATTTTTTATTTAATAACGAATTCAAATGAGATTTCAATCCACCAACTTTAGGCTGATGTTCGTCGTATTTTGTGTCAATTTAAAAAAAAAAACTTTTGGATAAAAAGCCAAACACCTTTACAGTATAAAGGATATTGTACATCAAAAACTTTAAAACATAAATCCAGAGCTGCCAAAAATGATGAGAACTTGAGATTGGTTCCGTCTAGATATATGTACAAAAAAAATATCTAAAGAGTTAATACTAGAACCAGTAGCTATTATAATGGGTTGCAAAGTATTATTTTTGTGCGAAAAACGTTCCCTTATTTCGGCCAATGTTTCCTCCAAATTTGATGCAGAGTTTACATGGACTAAAAAACTGTCCACTCCTTCCTGAATAGTTACCCTTTTAAACGACGAGTTGTTCTTGTACCTGTCAACGGGTGTTATAACAGCATTCAGCAGTAAAGATATAATTGAGGGATTCACAAAGGTGTCGTAAGTGTCGTATTGTTGTATGTCGTAAACTTTAAAAGCTTACATAAATGCTTAGAGAACTTGAAACGACAACCAACTATTATTTAACACCGCAAAAATTCATAATATTACTTTGATGGTGCTTTACGAACCTCTTTAATATATTTTTTAGGCGTTTAAAGTTTGCGACATACAACAATACGACACTTACGACACCGTTGTGAATACCCCAAATATAATTTCTAGTACCTGAAAATATAAACGTATGTACCATATAAAAATAGCTTGAAACTCGTATCAGTTATTTATTTACCTGCAGCGAGGTTTTGATTTTCCAATTGAATTAAAATTTCTCGGGAAACTTTGTCCTTTTATTTTTCTTATAATAGCTGTATATTAATGGCACGAAATCTTCCCACTTTGTATGCAAATTTGTTCCTTTGTTCGGATAGAGTATATCAAAATCACAATTGATCTGAAATATTGTGAAAGTTTGAAGAAAATATTTATTTATATATTTATTAACACGGAATATAAGATTAAATATAAATGTTTTTACAAAAGCAAAAAAATTTTACCAGCTGTGGTCCAAGAACACAATGTTTGTACAAAGGCCATTCGATTATAAATGCGGATATCGTTTCCCCTCTTTCCAATGAATTCATGAGATAAATATTTCTATATAGATGTGTCGTTTTCCACTTCTCCACAATTTCCTCTAGTGGGCTATCATTATATTTCCGCCAAACTTGAATTTTTTTGGATAAAATTTCGTCCAGTTCAGGAAAGGTCTGTTTTTGTACTCGTGTCCTTGCCTCTTGGTGTGTTTGAACACGTAGGTAAATTTTTTTCCTTTTCGATTATTAAAATAGCGATCATATAATTTACCACACGGTCGTTTAGAATTTCCACGACGACCAAAATAAGTTGACTAGGTGGTAGAGAATCGAATTATTTAGAAAATAGTGTGTACCCTAGTAATAGCATAACAGCTATATAATGGATGAAACGTATTTTTAAACATACGGTGGCGGACCAAAATCTACATACAATGAATTTTTCACAATAAGTACAAAGTTTTGTATTCTATTCTTTTTTGCAATTTTTTATAAAAGTATAAGTCTACATAAGACGAATTTTTCACAATAAATAAAAA